AAATAATGGCTAGGATTAAATTAGAAATGGAATATAATGAACTTTTAAAATGTCTGGAAAAGAGTAATCATATATAAATAACATTATGTGTTTTCTTTTAATTTGCCATTCTAATCTAAAATGTTATGTCATGCTTAATTTTTATTTCTTTCTACATAAAAAATTATTTTTCTTTTTTGTTAAACTGCCAACTTAAAAACCTTTGCCCATTCTTAATGTACAAACTGTCATATAGAATTCATTTATATAAAAATTGAAGTAATCTTTCCCTGAGATCACCTGAAAGTACTTTGTGAGAAAAACACTGATCCATGCATGTTTTCTTCAGAAACATAACCCCAGAGATCAAGTTGAAGGGCCAGGAGTAGACTGCAGAACGAATCACCAATATAAAGACAAATTTGCAAGCTGCGACCCTGGAAAACACACAGAATTTCTCTAAAAAGCCTCATGATCTCAGCAAGAAAGTTTTGTCTGGCCCCTGGATGCCCTTAGTCAAGAGTTTTCTTGTTTACTATGTACTCATGGGCATTTATGGGCATTAAATGATTCTTACAGCCCACTAAACCCAAAGCAGGAAGAGGAAAACTCACCAAACAGGCTGGGGTGAGCCTGTGTCAGGACACTTCTGCTCAGACTACAATACTCAGTTACTCCACAGTCAGCCACCATAGACTAGTTCAGACTCCACCGTAAGACAGAGAGAATGCAAAACAGTGCACAGGAAGAGTCTTATTTACCCAGGATACCAGTTGTACTCCTCAGATCTCCCAAATCCAGTGTATCACTGAGTCCCCTTTAAAACAGGCCCTATGGATGAACTATCTGTACCCTAAATATTTCTTCTCTTCCTCCAGAATGCCAATTAACATAGTTACCTAATCTCACATGCCTTAAATTACCAGTAATTTCTCTGAAGTGCCACAATGGAAAGGTCTTTCTTTGTATGTTCAGAATGCCACAGAAAAGTCCTATAAAGTTCATAGATTATAAACAACAAAAATTTAGTTCCCTTAATTCTGAGAACTCCAAGATCAAGGCATGAACAGATTCAGTGCCCAGGAAGTGCTGCCTCTCATAGATGTAGCCCTGTAGGCAGGGCTCATAGTGGAAAGGTCTGGTGAACAAACGCACATCTACAAGAGCAACATGCCCATCTATGAGAGAGTTGCACCCACATCGTGCAGTCACCTCCTGAGAGTGCCTACCACACCACATCAACATGTTGAGGAGGAAACAAATAACTGCAGGAAGCTCTCACTCCACATTACAAGTGAATGCTGTAGGATATTTGGACACTGTGAAGATATATTTCTGTGATTTGGTGTAATAAAAAGCTGAATGGTCGATAGCTAGGCCAGAGGAATAGGCAGGACTTCCAGGCAGAGAGGAATACTGGGAGGAAGAAACATGGAGTTGTCAGCCAGACACAGAGGAAGTTGGACATGCAGGAGGAGAGGTAACAGCCAAGCCACATGGCAGGATGTAGATTAATAGAAATGGGTTAATTTAAGTTATAAGAACTAGTTATGAACAAGCCTAAGCTGCTGTGGGATGGTCTGTATGTCAAATTGCTCTGATTGATCAATAAATAAAACACTGATTGGCCAGTAGCCAGGCAGGAAGTATAGGCGGGACTAACAGAGAGGAGAATTGAGAGAACAGGAAGGCGGAGGGAGACACTGCCAGCCTCAGCCATGACAAGCAGCATGTGAAGATGCCGGTAAGCCATGAGTCATGTGGCAAGGTGTAGATTTATAGAAATGGGTTAATTTAAGATATAAGAACAGTTAGCAAGAAGCCTGCCACAGCCATACAGTTCGTAAACAATATAAGCATCTGTGTATTTATTTTATAAGTGGGCTATCGGACTGCCGGGGTTTGGTGGGACCTGGAGAGAAGCTCTCCAGCTACACTAAGCTATAAGCTGAGCTTTCATAATTAATAAGTAGTCTCCATGTCATTATTTGGGAACTGGCTGGCAGAACAGAGAAAGACTAGTTACAAGTGAAGAAGGACATTCAACTCTGATTTTCCAGTCAAGATTCCAACAGTTCCAGTGAGGCATTTTCAGGACATTATTACAGTTAAAAAGTTTTAATGCTTTTTTTCCTGAAGATTTCCTTATTTTTTAAATAACAATGCTGGATAGATTACCATTCTAGATCTCAAGATATATTACAAAGCCAAAATAACAAAAACAATATGATACTAAAACAAAATAAACATGTAGAACAATGGAACAATATCAAAGACACAAACATGAGTGCATATAACTATAGCCATTTAATATTCAAAAAGCTGCTGAAAAATGTGCTAGAGAAATGAAATAATCTTCAACAAATGGTGCTAGGAAAACTGGATTGTCCACATGCAGAAGAATGAAATTAGAACTCTATCTATCACCTTTAATAAAAACTAACTCCAAATGGATCAAATACCCCAATCCCAAAACACTGAATCTGCTAGAAGAAAATATTAACCATACCTATGGGATATAGGTGTAAGAAATGACTTTCTTTACAGCACTCCAAATACCCAAGAATTAAGGCCAACAATTGACAGGTGGGACCACATAAAATAAAATAGTTCTACACAGCTAAAGAAGCAATCAAGTGAAGAGAAAGCCCATAGAATGGGAGGGAATCTATGCTAGTTAAACATCTGACAGAGGATTGTTATTCTGAGTATAAGGAATTCAAATAAAGATTTTTAAATGACTCATACAAAAAATAAATGAACCTAGAATCTGAACAGAGTTATCAAAGGAAGAAATAAAAACAGCTAAGAAATATCTCAAAAACTGTTCATCATCCCCATCAATTAATGCAAATCAAGACAACTTTGAGATTTCATCTTACTACAGTAAGAATGGCAAGATCAAATAACCAGGCAGATGAGGGGGAAATGGACCCCTCATCTTCTGTTAGTGGCATTGAAAACCAACCCAGCCACTATGTAACTCAGTATGGAGAATCCTCAGAAAGGTAGGTAGATAGATAGATAGATAGATAGATAGATAGATAGATAGATAGATAGATAGATAGATAGATAGATAGATAGATTTATATGAAGTATTTGATGACCTGGAGTCAAAGATGGAAGATTCTGGGAAACAGCTCCTTCAGTCTGTTCTCTATCTGATGGAAAATGGAGCCCTAGTATTAACTACATATGCAGCCGACCAGGGAAAACAGCTTGAATCCCTTAACCTTACTGATGAGAAAAAGGTCCTGGAGTGGGCTCAGGAGAAGCGGAAGCTAAGTGTGTTACACATCCATGGGGTCTATACCAATCCAAGTGGTATTGTCCTCCACCCAGCTGGATATCAGAATGTGCTCAGGAACACTGAAGTTATGAGAGAGATTCAGAAACTCTATGAAAACAAGTCATTTCTTTTCTTGGGATGTGGCTGGATGGTAGATGACACCACTTTCCAGGCCCTGTTCCTGGAGGCTGTCAAGCACAAATCTGACCTAGAACATTTCATGCTGGTTCGGAGAGGAGATGTAGATGA